AATCCGTTTTACTTTTTGTAAAGTCGTTAAAAGTGTTGTCAATACAATTCAAAAAGCAGAAATATTTTCGCTTGATACAATTTATTTGACAATAATAGAATGATCAGTAGAGCGACAGAAGTTATTTTTGGTTCCATTCCATCATTTCAAAAAGTCCGGTCTGATGCATCTTAAGATATCTGAATAGCAAATCATACTGAACCAACTCGATTTATCGCATTTTAGAAACATTTGAAGAGCCTGTTGAAATTTGCAAATTATTAACTAAAATGTCGATATTAATTCTTAACACAATGTGCGGGAAAATCTCCAGAATACGATACAATATTTTGTATCTTTTTCTTCACATTGGTTGTTTATAATCACTAGTTTAAGTTTGACATACGCGTTGTAAGTAAATTTGTTATGTATTACTAATTGTTGAGCTTTGACTGATGTATCTACAATAGTAGACATTGATAAATATGCCGAGTGTAACATTTTGTTCAGAAAATTATTCATTTCAATATACTTTCGAAGCAAAATTCGAACCTTTTATAGAAGTTAGCTTATAAAGCACATATAAGCCACATATTATGACATTGTGCTACGCAAGGTTATTTTATCACAAGTAAGATATTTATTTCAGCTTTGTAATGAAATAAAAATCGAACCAGAAAAAATGAAATATTTCATTACACACATCTATCTTCATTGATATTCAAAAAAATTTACCTTCATTCTCTGCTTCACTTAGAAAAATTGTCATTTATGATATATTCATTTTTGTATTCTTGATACATAGGCCAAAATTTACTAACATACAACAAAAATAATAAGCATATGATGCTCAGTGCATTTATCGCACTCATGTGCTTTTTACCATATATTACAGCTCAAAATTCAACAATATTATATTCAAAATCTCGATGGCTACAATTGCCACCAACTCCTAAACTCCCTCTTCAACTTATTGGTCAATATGCTAAGATCAATGATATTGGGATATGGTATACAATCTACGGTTCAAACAATGCTACTCCTCTCCTTTTTCTTCATGGTGGCTTCGCTAATAGTAATTATTGGGGATTGCAAGTTGCAGAACTTAAATCATTTTATCGATGTATATTGATGGATTCTCGAGGACAAGGTCGAAGTTTTACAACATCAACTGATATCACATATGATCTGATGACATCTGATGTTATCGCTTTGCTGGATTATCTTAACATTGAACGAGTACATTTAGTTGGGTGGAGTGATGGAGCAATTATTGGTCTTAACTTAGCAATGAATCATCCGAATAGATTGATCTCATTGTTTGCATTCGGAGCAAATTATGGTCCTACGGGTGTAAAAGATGTTTCCACTTCACCTGTTTTCATGACCTACCTCGAACGTACTAAAACTGAGTACGAAGCAATGAATCCAGTCAATAACTATTCGAATTTATACAATAATTTAACATCAATGTGGGCTAAATTTCCAAATTGGACTCAACAAGATTTTACAAGAATTGATAAAAAGTTGTCGATTTGGATCGTTGATGGTGACCATGAAGAAGCTATTTTGCGAAATCAACCAGATGATATGACTAGTTGGATTCCACAAGCTAGCCAATTAATCTTACCAGGAACGAGTCACTTTGCGTTTATCCAAGATCCCATAACTTTTACTATGTTTGTGAAACGTTTTCTAACTGAGATCGATTGTCCAAGTTGTACCGATACGATATGGGTACCATCAGTAGCTTCAAGTATCTTTTGGTCATTTTCAATTTCAATACAATTCAACAATTTATTATCTATTCTCTGTCTATGCATGCACACATGGCTGTCTCATGTTTTTTTCATTCACTGTATCATTTTAATTTTGATTAATATACATGTTTGATTCCGAAATAGAGAGAATTCTTGATACAAAAGAGTGTGCAAGTGAATAAATAAGATTCACCTAATAAATGAACTATGTATTTGAATAAATTCATCAATAATGTTCCTTAACCGGAGCTAAAAAGAGTGAGAAGTACGGCACAGAGTTATCACCGAATAGATTGAAGAATAAAGTTTAGTACTTTGATGAAAATAATAAAAGAATGCTATTTAAAAATACTAATTATGTGTTTATCTTCATGTTAATTAATTATACGTCGTCGGTATTCCTTCTGCTGCAATATACAATAAAAGTGCTGCATCTGCTCAACCCAAAGCTATTAGCACGAAATCTTTTTAGAGCATGCACAACTCATTGGTATTGATGTGATGCAGCTAGTATCGATTCAAAAGCGAGCGGATATTTGAGAATGTTTCCTTGAAAAAAAGATATTATATTATTAATAAAAACATTCCATTGTGTGCAAAGATATGTATCTACTGAAGTTTATGATGGCATAGTATTTTCTCATAGGTTTATGCATAGTTTTGTAGCTTATTAAAGTCTCTATCAAACAAGAAAGGACACTGCACCACTAATTTAACTTAGAAGAAAAAGAAATGCGAAAAAGAACCTTAGTTAGAAAAAAGACATTTTCGAACTTTTTTATGCTGCAGTGCCTACAAATAGTTTGTTTTCTTTTGAATGCTTTGTTTGTTTAAAAAGCGTTCTATGTCATCTTAGTATATGCAAAATTTAATGGCACATCTATTGACTACAACAGATTGCTATTATCATGGACTGTAACTCCAAGGTATCAGGCAAGGTTCTAATGAAAATACTTTCGAATACTGCAAAATGAATTTTTCTGAAAAATCAGCTTTTCTCTGCAAATACTAGTCCGATCATCGTAAAAATTTCAGAGCATACACAGTTTTTACTCCTCTATCAAAATGTAAAAAAGTAAGGTCGAAAACTTTTATACAAATTGTTTTTTGAAATTTCATGCCGACCAGGAGTCCAAAAAGTCGTATAATTTGTGAAGGCCGTAACTCTATCAAAAAGTCAGCCGACCAAGAAAACTTGAAGGTACGTGTATTTTGATTAGCTCTACAAACTGAGCGAAAAAAATTGGTACCTTAAGGGAAAGAGTGCAGCATCCCATCGATACGATGCAGCGTATATTATGAAATTTTCAATTTTCACTGCCATTATTTTTCTTCTAATGTAACGCATATTATTTGTATTAAAACTCTCTGGAAGATCTAGCCAAATATTAAATAGTAGAGACTCAATTGAGTGCAACAATTCTTGAATTTTTTTGTTTACTGGATTTCTATGGACATGAGAAGTCCTGAAAAACTCATCGTACAACCCAAGTATATATGAAAGACTGCCTAAGTTGTGAGAAAATTTGACCATTCATGTTTTATTGAAAGCAGAGATCTCTAAGAGTCTTTCTTGAGAATAGATTCTTGATGGAAGCGTCGTCTAAAAGAATTAGTGTGCAATAAATACTGGCTTTAATTAAAGTGGATTTCTTCAGGCGATGTAGTCCGTTTCTGATGCCTAGAACAATCGAAACAAATGAACTATGATTTCACTGATACTGAATCAACTATAATAAATATTTTTTCAATGAGAAATTCTGATAGTACTCAACGAAAAAGATGTTTTCACTGCTGTTTCGAGCTTACTTTCTAAGAATATATGATGAAAATGGAGTCACAAAACTAAATATTTTCCTTGATATCTATATTTCCTAGTTTCTACGTGCTTTTCTTCATTTACAATGTTTTCATGCATGATTGATATTTTTTGTCATTTACAAAAACTCGAAAATCAGTTATAATTATTGAAACAATCGGTATGAGTTCTAGATCCATAAATCCAACCAATTTTCATTATATTTTACGGCAAATGAACTATTTGTAGTTAAATTAGTATGATCGATAAACCATTGACGAAGATTTTCTTTGGCATCATCTGCTAATTGACCATTGATGTACAATGAAAATAATGATTGATTGTGCCAGAGAAACAGGATTCTCGATGCTAATTCATTCACAAATATCTGTGAGTCTTTGATACTTAAGACTAGCTCATAAAGTGAAGTAAATACGAAAGCCAGTTGTTCCAAGAGATCCGATTTCGAATCGATCCAATCTGAAATATGCAGACGAACGATTCGTTGTCGCAATAAATCGCATGTACGCTTTTCATTTAATTGAAGCTTGAGACAGTCATATTGAATCAGCAATCGATCGAGAGCCGGTGCCGCATCGAGTAAATAAAAAAGATCACATTTTCCATACACATCGAGTTTTTTCAGCCAAGGGACCCGTATTGGAACATGTTTCGTCTTTGTATCTGTTAACAAGAAAATTAATTCATTTTACAATTTTAAAATCAATTCCAGACGAAAACGTGTTTTTTTTTATTTGAAAGGCGAAATATATCACTTTCTAATAAATGTGAATTTGTAGAAAAGTTCTCGATTATTGAAAGAGAATTCTTTAATTTTTGAAACACAACAGTATTTTTATTTTTTCATGCGAACAATCTTAATCGACTATGGTCTGTGGCAGGTTTTTTTTATGCTTCTTTTGTAGATGATGCAGTGAATTTAATAGCATATGATATATTGTGAGTACAGCGCTCGACAAAGTAAAAAATATATGAATCGTGTTTTCATACATATTACGATCCGTTCTATTAAACAATATCTTTCAAACATCTACTTGAAAAAAGGTGCTGCCAAAAATGGGTTCCAAAGAACTGAAGAACTATTTTCTCTTCGGTTTCTCGTCATTGTGAGAACTACATAATTTTTTTCTAGTTTCATATGCTTTTATATGAACCGTCTGCGTAAGTAACATGATCATACTTACCATATTCAGCTTTCTGCTGCATTTCGATAGTTAGCGTTCGAATTCGATGAGTGTGTTGTAAAATAACCAATATGTCCTGAATAGAATTGGCATCGTATATGTAAAGATCTTCAACACAGTTCATATATTTCCATCCTGATGACATCTGTTTACCTAATGTTGCTGATAGTATGAGAGAGCGTAGGCCATACGGAATACTGTGAATTGATGCACAATATTTAGACCGATCATCCCAAAAAGCTACTGGGATGTGTGTCGGCCAAGAATCGAGCAAAGTATCTATTGGGAAATTTTTATCTAAATAGTAATAACGAATAAAAAAATAGAATTCCGTAAGAGATTTTGGTAAACAAGTGTCGAGATGATCTTTTTTAAGAAAACGGTCATCTTTTGTACATATGTCCAATGCTAATTTTTTCAAAGATGGCATTCGATGTAATAGGTCGATGATTTCATCCAACGTCCAAAATGCAGCGATTGAGCGCAATTCAAAATCGACAAGATGATGAGATGTAATTGATGCCAGTAGTAATTGCTTAGGTGTCGAAGAAAGTAGATGTTCACTTATGGAAATATGAAAGCAACGGAGATTCGGTAAAGCTTTCAAAAGAATTTCCAACATTCGACATGATTTTGCATCAATTCTCAATTCTTCTAAGTTTGGATAACAATCGAGTTCATCATCATCCAATAAGACTAAATCAACTGAATCGTCATCGAAGGAGATTGATTTTAATTGGCAATGATTCAAAGAAAAAATCTTCGTTAATAATTTCTTTGGAATAATACCTCTGAGACCTCGAATATCCAATTGAATCAATTGTGAAAGATCATTTAAATTATCCATGAAGGTAAAAAGTCTCTCACCAGAGAACCATTTTAAGATTATTCTTTGAATATGTGGAAAAACAAGAGATATGGGTGAACAAAATAGAATTTGAAATGCTTTTTCTGACATAATTGTTTCCCAACTGGCATGTAATACAAATGAGAAAGCAGCATAACCAATATTGGGTAAAATTTTCGAAGCCACATGTTCGAATTGATTATGTGTAACTGCCAATAGATTGATATAACGACAATAACCAGTTATAGTAATATTCAATCGTCTATTGAGATTGTAAAAGGAATACAAAACATCGATTCCACGAAGATATGAGCAAGTCTGTAAAATTATCTCGTCAGGCAATGTCTCCAAACAAGTAATTTGATTCATCTAGAAAAATCACTTTTGCAATATCGAGCAAGATTATGTGGATTGCAAATCGATTTTATTTGCGCCGTTTATTCCTTTCAAATGAATGCCTTACCATAGTCAGAAGAATATATTTTTCTAATTCGATACATGTTACATTGCATATGTGGTGTTATTTTGTTTTCACCTAAACGACAGGTAGTAGAAAAAGAAAGAAAAAAAAACAAAAGTAATCAACGTGACTTGCCGTAAATAAGATAAATGCTGTTATTGGACAAGGTGAATGTCTACTGAAAAAGTGTTATATTCAGCGCCAACTATCGTTGAAGAAGAAACTATTTAAGTATGTAAAGTTTCAGTTTGTAAATCAACGACAATGAAATTTATTAAGTAAAGATCAGATCAGTATTAGTCTTCACTGGAATTGTGACTACACTGACACTGACGTTCATTGGAACTTCGATAATTCTCATATAAGTATTCATTGAAGCATTGACACACACTGCAATATAGACAATCACTAATGCACTGATATCGATCACGTGATCGATCTTTAATAAATGTTACCATCGGTGACGTTAGTGTGAGTTTTTTGGTATTTTCGTCAGCACCGTACATCCATAATATATCTTTCACTGAATGTATATGACATTCATTATGATAATTTTAAAGAAACTTTTTTCTCACAGACAAAATCATTCATAGCAAAGAGGAAGTGCCACGTAGTCTTTATCCTAAAGAATTGAAAAGCTCTAAACTAGATTAGACGAAATTGTGAGAACTAGTTATGAAATCTAATGGAAATCTATTTATTCAAAAGCCACCATAGATGGTATTTTCCCGTGATATACTTAGGCAGGTATATATATGGATGAATTGCAAAATTATTGTACCGTTGTATTCCTGAAGGTAAAATTTCAATATCTCGAGTTCTACTCAACCAATCCTTATGATTTTTTTTACCATATATTCTACTAAGAAGTCCTCACTACCACACAAAAAAATGACAACGTTATCTTAAATAAGTCCTGAGATATTGGCTGGACAAGGCTCAAAAGTTCGATTTCTGCTGCCGTCTTTTTGACAAAAGGTTGTATACCTAGTTCGTTACTTGTCATTTGAATTTCGACAGTTCGTGATATTTATAATATACAGTCTACACTTCTCAGATATAAAACCCTTTGGTTCTTTTGACGTAGTTTTTATTACAGTTTTATCGAAATACCGTGTGTACAGACAACTCTCAATTTTCTGTCACGCGAGATTAAAATTCATTTTGCTACGCAATGGCCCATCTGAAATTGATCGGGTTTGTGTTAAATGAAAGGTAGTTGGTGCTATATGAAACCACTAAAGACGATGAGAGAATGGTCCTGCTTCTTATTGAAAAAAAATATAAAATGAAATTTGAAAATTCAGTTATCACACAAAATGTCACGCGAGATTTTTCAATTTGTTTGTTTCATAACCTTCTTATACTATGGCAGATTACGATGAAACTTTGACCATTTTATCCACTCATTGTGGCCAACAATTGGTTGTAATATCAGGATCAGAAAGTTTGTCTTTCCCACAACAGATGAAAAATAGTGCAAAAATGTCACGCGAGATTATTATAGGTATAACTACCTCACAACTAAAGCTAAAGTAGATACATAGTATATCACTTAACTTCTATATTTAAGGATCTATCAACAGTCATGTGAATTAATCCTAGCTTATGTTTTACAGGTTAATAAATTTATAGAGAAAAGTCACTAATTATGTACATTCTGTAATTAACTGCACGTTTACAACTTTTATCAGTGTATAAGTGAAAAAACTAAGTAAAATTTAAGGCAAACCGTGTTATTTTAGTCGCTAATTCTAGATCAAAGTTAGATCATCATTACAAAGAAAAGACCCAACTCAAAAACCTAAAAGCTATCGAAAAATCTAACTGAGGTGTTTACTATCAAAGAAACTGGACCTTGAATTTTTTAATAGTATTCTTTAAAAGACCGTCGTATCTTGGGCAATTTAATAGTGGTAGTCGGGAAACTTTATCTATATTCACAGCCCATGTAGTACTGTAGAATGCACTAATCACCGTTGTTAAAATCGAAAATTTTTTTTCGCCCTTTTTTTCACGGAACGGTACAATAATTTTGCAATTCTCCCATATATATTATATAGCTTTTTCTACTGCATTAGGCTCGAACACAGTAGATCACATTCTCATAGAAGTGTGTTTCCTGCGTGATTTATTGGGTCGTAACAAGTTTTATGAGAAGAAATATAATTTTTTTCTCTTTTGAAAAGTTATTGATATTTTCACCGTTCAAGCACTGGACAAATGAACGAATTCTATATCTTCACACATTCTCTGTTGCATTTTACTAGTATGATTCTCACATCAATATGATGTCGACTGATGTGTAATCATTTTATGATTCGTTCTTGACAGATATTCATTGTAAAAGTAAAATGAAATCTTACTATCGGATGACACTGTACCTAGAGTTCATAATGAAAAAAAAAAAGAAGTCTTATGTCTGCTTGCAAATTGCAAGATGCACAAATGCAGAAAACAATAATACCAATGCAGACTAAACGATACAGTAGACAAGCAGTAAAAAACAGATAGTTCTTTAAACAATTATCTTATGATCGCTCTTCTAGCATGGTATGTCGTCGATTCTTATTAATGTCACAGGTTACTGGTAGTTGTGCGAACAAACTTTCAATATAGGATTACTGTTTGGTTGATTTTGTTCTAAACCTACTCGAAATATGCTCTATCATAATATGTACACTTTACTCTTATTTTATTTTAGTATTTACACGAACGTTGCTGATTGAAGACCAAATGAAGTTTAAATCAATATATATGATAGTGCGGACTTTGCCGATATTGTTCGTAATATTTTTAATTCATACATAGCTTCTAGATGGACAATTTCTTTTCAATTAATCAAGCATATATAGCCAAAAAAGTTGGAAAGAAAGTTATAAAAAAAAACTTGTACATGGTGTACTAGTACATCGGTATAATTAATTTGATTCGTAGTCTTTTCAATGATAAATTTTCTTGTCACTCGCAAATAAAAATTATGTTTTGAATAGTTTTCAAGTACAGATTTAAGCACTTCTTTTAATAATAAAGCCATAGTTCTGAATCCCAATATTCTTTACTCTCCAACAGTATCTGATTATAACAGTATTATTTGTCGTATTTTTTGCTCTTATTGTTTTCTGACATTGACAGACAATATCAACGACTATGGCCAATTATTTGCCTTTAATAATGAGCGAGTCTAATTCGTACTTGATGTTGAAGAATGATGTAGCTTGTGATAAAAATGTATTTCAATGAAAAACAAAAGATAGAAGATGGCCTTCTTACAAATATTTTACTTAATGTAGTTCGACGGCTTAAAAAGTATTAGTTGTGATATTTACAGCACAACATTTATACGTGTATACTAACAGTGATCATTTAACGTATACCACGTTCTGATCAATGTTTCTGATGTTTTTCACATCGATTCTTGCAAGTAAAACCTCACATTTGCATCAAATTTTCAAAGCTTCTAAGAGAAATTTTTTTTCAGTACAATGTTTATTCAACGCTCGGACTTTGGCACAGCCTGCAAGAACTTCACCTATTTTGGTATATGTCGGAACATACACTGGGAAAAGTGAAAATGATAGCAAAGGTATTTATGCTTTTGCATTTGATAGTAAAGATTCATCGCTAAAACCATTGGGACTTGTTGCGGTGACACAGAATCCGACTTATGTACTAATGCATCCATCAAGAAGATACATTTTGTCTGTCAACGAAGCAGAAAAAGGACAAGTCAATGCTTTCAAAATCAATTCAACACAAACAGCTGAATTGATTTTTATCAATCAACAATCTTCTGGTGGAAGTTATCCAATTTATCTTTCATCGGATGCCCTAGGTCATTATATTTTTGTTGCCAATTATATTTCTGGTACTGTAGCTGTATTACCTTTCGACACTAACTATGGTCGTATTCAAGACTCAACTGGAATTTATCAACAAAACGGCTCCTCCATTGATCCTGAGAGCCAAACATCATCTCATCCTCATTGTATTTTGTTAGATAAGAAAGAGGAATATGCTATAAGTGCTGATTTAGGATCAGATGAGCTGTATGTATATCGATTTATATCTACTAATGGAACACTAAAGAAGCAATACATTTCAAAATCAAGACAGCCAGGCGACGGTCCTAGACATTTAATATTCAATAATAATCAAAAGTATGTTTATGTGATAAATGAATTATCATCATCGATCACCGTTTTCACCTATTATCCAATTCTGAGGGCTATTCAAACAATTTCAACATTACCGCAGAATTTTACATCGATAAACTATGCTGCTGAACTTCTGGTTCATCCTGTATCGAATAAATTTCTTTATGCATCAAATCGTGGTCATGACTCTATAGTTGTTTTTGCCATTGATAATGCCACGGGATACTTAAATATTATTCAACATGTACATGTACAAGGGCGCACACCTAGACACTTTAACATACTTCCAGATGGAGCGCATCTAATTGTAGCTAATCAAGATTCAAATAATCTGGTTGTATTTTCGATCAATACGACTACAGGGATGTTGACAGTCACAGATTCGTCTGTTCAAGTGAGCAAACCGACTTCTGTCGCATTTCTAATACCATAAACTCATTGGAAATATTGGACTATTTTTTTGAAAGAAATTAGTAGAACTGCATCACATCGTATATTTGATAATTCATAAGGATTTCATTTGATTCAATACAAATCAAGTCATGGATTTAATTCAATTTGCTAGAAGGACATGCTAGAGATTTGAAATAGTAATTAAATAATTTTGTCGCTGTGTTTGTTGTTGAAAGCACGTTTCTCAAAGTATTCTGTTTTTCTTAGTGTCTGCCACATGAATTCTATGGAGATTGTTCACTCTGTCATTAATGCCGATATAATACATATCAATGCATCGATTTAACACAAGGTTAAAATAATCCTTCGATAAATATCGCTCTATTTTTCAATATACTATCAGTCAGCATCTCATCTTTTTATTTGTGATTCACTGCAAGCTAATAAGTCAAAGGTTATGAAAAATTTCGATATCCATGCTCTAAACGATGAAGCAAAAAAAAAGTGAATGCAAAGGAATATTCAAACACACTTAGAGCGTTCTAGAACAAACATGAGCTATGATGATCAAAGTTGAATATTGTGTACATGTTATCATAATTACTGACATGAATCATTAGCAGTCCATCATTATGTTTGTGAAAAAAATGACAAAAATTCTTGAAACAAAAGCTTTATTCAGGAAAAATGGTCGAACTCTAACACGAACCAATAGATATCATCCTCTTAAAAATACAAAGAACCAACAATTATGGTCACACAGTTCGACACTCATCCACCGGTAAAACATAGTTGTAGTTATAAAAAAAAAAGAATATCGAGTTTGAAACTTTCAATTGAAGAAATTTTGGCATACGATGCTTCGATCTATGATATTCATACAAAATAGTAAACAAGTATTAGTCATTGATTATTAATAGTTGTAATACAATTCAAGCAATAATCTTTCAGAAATAACGAGCTTTATCATATAGTAAGTTGAAAATTTCAACAATGGTAGGTAAACTGAAGAGCCGTGAATTAACTAGATGCTGTGGAACAGGTTACAAACAGCACTCACTGTTACTCTACTCATTAGCAACTAATACTCATCATATTTTCCAAAGGATTGCAAATTATTTGGTTCACATATATAGAGTGCTGTATAACGAACCTTAACTATTTGATTCTTGAATGTGACATATTCATCTATCGGCGCAATGTTGAGTTTTTATTTATGTGTGGCGATACTCATGTTAATGTTGCTTGGTTGTTGCATAGCACATAATCCTGTTCAATAGTTATTGTAATATTACTAGATGATATTGTTTAGTAGTACAAAAGTCGTTTCGGAACGTCGACGACAGTAAAACAAATCTTCTTATTAGATAAACTGATAGAAATGCATAAAGAATTATCTTTAGTAATATTTAGATAGATGTTGTGTTCTACAAGTCTCAATATCACCAAGTATATGAAGACGTCCATGAACATCATCATTATTATTTCAATGCTTAATCTTTCAATATCAATATGGAAAATAGACTATTATCCATGGATAATTTATATTTAATATCCACGTCAGTTCGTCAAATACAACATTACACAACACTCAAAGACCATGTAGTGTATATTGTATCGGTCGAAGTTACTTGAATCATCAAGGATCTTTGATAAGGAAAATATTGTTTTCCTTTCAACTACATCTTTCAATAGAATGAATGAGTTCTTTATTTTCTCATTAGTTTAAACTATAATATCGTTTTGAAACTAAACATTTGTTTCTGAAGAAGTAAGAAGACACAGATGCTACAATTTATTCAACAACATCACTATCTATTCGGATTCGTCTAATAAAATACTCTTCGATTCATTTTATTATTGAATCAATCAAGTATTGATCTAACTAAGATATATGTTTATTGTGAGAAAAATGAGGAAAAACTACTTTCAATACTAAAATGTTAAATATATGAATAAAATAAAATGCTTCTGCTTGTATTCATCAAATGTCTTTATGATTGAGATTGAATTTGCCTGTTGTTGATACGTTGTGTTACCTAAAAGAAGCAAAATTGGAAATAGATTCTTTATTCTTGTTAGATTATCTATCGTTTAAACGCGATACTTATCTTAAATATGCTAATGATCTTGCAAACGGATCATTCAAGTCAGTTTACATTTGCTGGATGATCAAGCAAGTTTAGATAGTATAAATATTTATTAGATAAATTTAAAAAAAAATGTTTTCTAACGTGAAACACTATTTTTAATCAATGTTAAAATATATAGCGAGAAAAGTAAAACTTTAGCATGTTTCATGAAAACAAGAAGAAAGAAAGAATACTCTTATTTTTCGACTACCTTGTAGTATGGGTTATTGTCCAGCGGTAGATGCAATACCTTGACATTTTTCTTACAACTAACAGTAGCTGTAACTCTGAACAGAAGGACGTCCTGGCACAGACTATCTGCGCTTAATGTGTTAAGCTTCCCATGAACACTAATAGACTATATAATGCTCACAAGAGTAAGTGTATATGACAACATAGTCAACATACTATCGGAAGATTGATCTGAGATAAACAGCTATTAGTGATTTTTCCAGAGTTACTTCATGAATAGCACTAACGGATTTCAACAAAGTATCATATGAGTTCATGTCGAGCGATATAGCCAGTCTCTCATAGCAACCTAATCCATGGACACATAATAGACATTTCGGTATGCTTTCTTGTCGACTTTGTCACGAACTGTGGTCAATATAAATACTACTTATACATAATTAATTTGCATCTATCACATTTCACGCTTTGATCTTGTAGAAATCACCTTCGAAGCTTTTTAAAATGAGTTTTGTGAAACTCAAGTTTTCTTATGAGCGAAAATATTAAATAAACAATGTGTGCAAGATATACCTCGTATATTCTAAAGAAATCCATAACTAATTTGATAGTTCGTAACGATTATATAGTCGAAAAGTTAATACATCATTTATATAGAATGTTGTTCTAGGAATTTTATGATTTGTTAATTACTATTTTGACATTTTTTGTCAATTGAGAAGCTTCAGTAGCCACGTTGTGATTTTAATACTAGCCCCTCTCTTAATTTCAGTAGATTGATTTCGAAACAGTGCTTTGTCTACATTCAATATTGAATAGAATGTATCGATATGTATCACATTTTATAGAAGACACAATATCGATCAGACAGAAAATAATAAAACAACAATCTAATTCAGAACCAATACGAAATATCATGTAGAACAGTGCAAAGATTTTTGATTTTCTTACCATTTGACAGGCAATGCAGCAACGCCAAAATCACGTTTTGGAATTGTGACATATTGTAATTCGTCTGCCGGAACAGCCAATTGAAGATTGGGTAAACGATGAATAAGAGTATTGATTGCAATTTGTATTTCGACTCGTGCTAAATCTTGTGCTATGCACACATGAATACCATCACCAAAAGCAAGATGAGGGTTTGGTTGACGATGAATATCAAACCGTGTTGCATTTGGGAAAACATTCTCATCTTCATTGGCCGATGCATTCAATGCCCAAACACCTTCACCCTTCTTGATTATTTGACCACCGACTTCAACATCTTCAAGAGCCAAGCGACGAGTAGCAAATTGTGAACCTGTCAAATAACGTAGAATTTCTTCGACAGCATTTTTTATTAGAGATGGATCTCGTCGAAGTTCAGCTAGTTGATCTGGATGTTGAAGAAGTGTCAGTGTACCAAGCGCAATCATATTTGCTGTTGTCGCATTACCAGCAACCAGAAGTAGAAATGACATTGCTACCAGTTCATCATGAGTTAATTTGCCTGTTTGAACTTGCTCAATTGCCAGACGACTGATAATATCATTTGTTGGATTTTGTGTTTTCTTGTCGACCTTAACAAGAAAACACGAAGATAAAGAAAGATATGACATATTGAATACTTCAGGAAAAAAATTCGATAATAGTGAATCTTGTGTATGAAGTAAAATATACATTCTTGCCATCAAATCCAACGATCATACCTGACACAATTTTTTACTCAAAAATTACTTCTATTTTGATTCGATGATACTACTCATTGTAATCATATAAGGATTACGTTGAAGGTTTTCCGTATTTTCTCACTTACAGATCTTCTTAAAGAGTTCTAAAATTCACTTTGTGCCTTTTTGGATTTATATTTTGAAGTTTTAATGGATAGTAATTTGCAAGCTATTCTAAAAGCATTACATACAAGATCTATTCCCAAGCTTTCCTGTTTAGAGATAAGTGAATCCTTATCTGATGAACTTTACTGATGTCTTAATGTGTACTACATTGTATTCGTGCTTATATGAAATTCAAAGTAGCGTTAGTTCAAAAAGACTCACACAAGAAAGTCTACTGAAAAAACGTAAAGTGCTGGTTTTTTTTATACAAACCTATTTCTAAATAAAAAAAAATCTAGAACTATTTCATAAGTTGCTATGAGCAATCAGAATATCATTTCCAAAACGATATAATAGTTTAGTCAATTGAAAGATGAAAAAAAAGCAAAACCTAATGACTACTTTTAGGATTTAGAATTAACTTTTTGTTCTGAAGTAAACGATTCCAAATACTCAAACACCATTGAATACCTGGTGACATGCCTGTGTAAGAACAGTCATTCGATCATCACACAAAAATTAAAGTAACCATTATCGCACTTCGACTACTTCGCATCGGCAATATGACGAAAATACTGTATTGTTAGAATAAAATCCTCTTAACTAGAACGCATTTTAATTTTCAGTTTTCATTTGATATATCATTGCTTTTTATCCTAAGTTCTACTAAAAATATTCAGCAAGCATCAATGAAGAGATTTATTGTATCAAAGTTCTAAATGAGTCGATTTCATTTTGGTTTCAATTTTGAAAAAAGTGACATATTAAAATATATTTTCTAAAAAAATAATAACTTACTAAACGTGCAAGATAATCCATAAGATCCTTGCTTGCTTGAGCAGATTCAGCAGATGTTGCACTACCATTGGTACGAATAGCATTACATTTATCCAAAAAGT